TTGACGTAGCTAATTTTAGGTTTCATAATGAATAATATAGATTTGCCGTAAGATTTCCAGCGTGAGTCTGAAAGCGTGTCATGCCAGATGCTTGAGATTTGGCAGCCATGAAAATGTACATTTTTTATTTCAACCGAGTTTATTTATAACAGATAACATTACTTTATACATATGTTAAAAAGCAGAAACTTCAACGAACATGAAATCAACAATGAACTACGTCTATTTATCCAATATGTTATATAATACATACTGTACTTGAAAACTGTTCAGCTTTACGATTTCAGGACAGACCAGTCACTCTGTCAGGAACATTACGGCTTTTTGGATGTGGTTTTAGCTTCGATGCTGCTACTAACACTAACGGCACATTAGCGCAGACAAAGGGCTGCATACGCCGAATTACGTCTTGCTTGGCGGTCAAAGGCGTTTGACGTTTATTGGCGTGGGAAACAGCGGTTCTACTGCTAAACCACTACCAAAAAGACTACAAACGCTGCAACGGTTAAAATAGAAGCGTCCCGTCAGGTTTTAAATAACTTAATGTTTTGGCTATCAGTCCGGGTCCGTATAGGACAGCTTCTGGGTCCGGACCCGGACCGCGGTCCGCTTGTTAGTGACCTCTGTTCTAAGAGATGCTTATTTGCACATTGTAAAAAATATGTGAAAGAAACTTTAAAATCAAAAATACAACATTAGAACATAACAACCATAATGAGCTAAATACTGTGTTCTCTGCTGCCAAGTATGTTTGCACATCTGTAGCGAGAAGCACATCTAAAACCAGTTACTACATTTGGTTCAGTATAATTTTTTTAATAAAACACCTTTCACCACAGTCGACCAAAGGCACTTTACTTGCGCGTGTTGTGATGCATTCCTGCATCATTTATACAGTTATACACACATACGCTAATAATGTATTCCATGTTCTATCTTCTTGTGAATTTAGATTCCACACATATCAAGAAATGTCTTAATTTGATTAATTGTGCCTACAGAACCCTCCGTATTCACATGCTGCGTCTGGTCTTTTGTGGCTTGGCTGGGTGGCTGTGAGCAACAGCCTCAGCTGGGTCTGACTTCAGACTATGTCCTGTTGGCTTTGAGCATGTGGCAGGACCCTTGTTAGAGACTGAGGGGTGGTCATGGTGCAGGCTGTCCTGTTCCCATTTCAGAAGTGGAACAGTGTGAGAGAATTTGTGACAGCATTAGTAGAACCTTGTCTATCTTTTAATAATCGTCCTGCTACTGGTTTAGATGCACTTTGTTTACAGTAAACTGCCGATAAAGATTGCGCTGGCAGTGCTGACATGCAGGTAGGCCAGCTGCTTGGAGGGTCCGGGGAGGCCATTAGATACCCCCCACGCTGACTGTAACTCTGCACGTCCTCGTCAGCAATGAACCTCTGCGACAGACACCTGGCACTGGTGGGGTCACTTTGGGGCATATCTGTCCTGAACGCACTTTCCCATGTTTTAGCATTCCATGAGGGTATCCGAATCGGCCCGATGTGTAGATCTTGGCTGATATTGCCGACCGACATTTGAACTTTATCAGTATTAAAAGTTAGCAGCACCAGAGCTAAAGGCAGAAGTTCTAAAGTAATGGAGGTTATTGCATTGGATGGTCAGACATTTTCTGTAGTGGAGGACATGTGGATTTCCTCAGGCTAGATGTAGGTTAGCCCTTTCCAGTCTGAAGAAATTAGGGCCTCCACCAAGGCCTTGATGATGATTAAATTTGTCGAGTAGGGTGTTCAGGGATCGATTGTGCAGTCCACAAATTGCATCCTGTATCGGATAAAAATGGAGTGCAGCATTTTATTTTCCAGTACGGGATGGCAAAACGAGTGACAATTGGCAAGAACTGTTCTCAAAGTGCCGGCCCATGAGAGTTTTATACAGCTTGCGACATTTAATTCATTATTAAACCTGGCCAGCAGACTGAGCAGCCGGTTATCGGTACTGTCGAGAGGTGCCTCACTAGCCTCCCCGTCCTGATTTCCCATCTCGATGGAGCTCCCTGGTTTTAATCGAATTCCAGTGTTTACTCCATTTCATCTCACCGAATCCCTAGGAATGCTTTCTATTCACAGATCTGAATGTTTCTTGTGTACAGACCTGTTTATAATTTTAGCTGCCAGTTTTTTAATGCTTGATTTCATTTGAAAACAGAGTAACTGTCCCCTTTTTCACCATGGTTGATTAAAATAGTTCTTTTTTTTTATTTAATCCATGAGCAATTTGTGAATGAGGACTGTCAGTGGTCCTTTCTGTCCCAAACCTGCCACCTTCCCCTCCTCTGTAAAACAGTCAGGCTTATAGCAAGCAGCCTGCCTGGGGGATATCAAGAGCCCAGGGGCATTGGTAGCTCGCGGATTCCTTAAATGGGCTCGAGTAAACAATGCTGACTACCTTAGCCGCCCGCTTGTTAGGTGGGTAGTTTCCTGATTACCAACAAGGCAAAATTCTACCGACCAAAGCAGACTGTTTAAATATTCTACTATACATCCTTTAAATTTGATGATAATACACACACTGTCTCTTAATGGGCTCTGAGGTCAGATAAGGAGGAGTCAAAGTGTGACTTTTTGCACAGGGTTATTGCCACCCAGGGAGAGTGTGGGGTTAGGGTCTCAATCTGGTTTTCATTAGTGCGCCCCCTTCTGGGCTGATAAAATGGACATCGAAGAATGGAGACCAAAGTCGGAGGATGGCTCCTTGTCCCCACTGTAAACATTTCAGTGCATTTGTTCTGTTACATGTGGCATGAGTCACTGGCCGCTAAGGGCTGGAAAATTCAGTGACATGAGCTATAAATATCCAGTGGGAAGCCCCTCTCCTTACCCCTCCGGCCGAGGAGGAGAATAGCATCGGGCTGGCTGTGGGCACGGGGTTTGAAGGGGGGATCTGTGCCGATTGGTCCTCACCCCTGTAGGACAGTGCTGATGTGGGGGTGGGGCATCAGCGTTTTTCCACCCTCTGCGCTTTATGCTTTGTTCGATGTAGTGTCCTTAGGGTCAAACCTTGGGAAAGTTCCCTGGCCTGTCGCCGGGGGGCAGAGCTGGCAGCCTGTACCCCGACGACATGCAGTGTGCCTCTGTGGCTGCAGAAATGTAAGCCGCATGGGTCAGTTTACCGAAGGGTGCAGGGAAAATGACGCCTTGAGCGGAGCACCTACTGGATACACACTGCATGGCCCACGAGCCCGGGCTAAATTTAGTTTAGTTACTATGTATTGGCACGCACTCTTAGAAAAGTGCCGCGAAAGGCGCTGTAAAATTGAATTGAATTGAATGAGACTGTCATATGGTACAAACAGCTCATCCATGCCTGCTTGGTACTAAGCATCTGCTCATTTGTTATCGGACGTGATGCTCTGGGCTGTAAATGCAGGGGGGGGGGCCTGGTTCTGAGTAGCTCGTCCTCGATCCCTAACACCCCTACCCCTTCCCTGGCAGCCTGATCAACCGCATGCTACAGAGGGACCCCAAACGGCGCGCTTCGCTGGACAAGATCGAGCGGCACCCATGGCTGCAGGGCGTCGACCCCTCCCCGGCCACCAAGTACAACATCCCATTGGTGTCCCACAGGAACCTGTCTGAGGAGGAGCACAACAGCATCATCCAGCGCATGGTGCTGGGTGACATCGCTGACCGCGAGGCCATCATTGAGTAAGGGCCTCGACCGCACTCGCCCTGCGCTGTAACCAAAGTAGGGTTAGGATGGCACACATACACAAGCGTGGCCGCAGTAAGTGCTATATGGATGCACCAGGATGGCACGTCTTTGCGTTACCCTCTCTGCAGCGAGAGTAGCACACGTTCAGGGCCGAGTTCGAATCTGACACCTCTGCCCTGCGGAGCTATGCAGCCCCACCCACCTCACCACCACTATGAGAAACAGCAGACAGTGCTAGTAAAAGTGATATTTTCAGCAGGCACATTAACACTTGTGGTCTTTGCACCCTTCAGTGTGAAGGGTGGGGCCTTTCTTTACAAGTCCGTAGCTCTGCTTACCGTCGCTAGCAAAGGTCCGAGTGAGCCGTGTGCTTATTAGCATGTTAGCTCTACACGTTCTGGTGAAGGATGAAGTTTACTTCCCCATTTACGTTTAAACTGAAGTGTCATGCAGATGCAAACACTTTCATTTCTGTCTGCATGGTTTAACCATAGATTTAAATATTTAATTAATGCTGCATCTTCTGAAATGTAGAACTCTGAGGGATAGACCTGTTACCTTAGAGAATCGCTGTCTT